TTATTTTAAATATCGAAACAAAAAAACACCCCAATTACAAATCGATTTTAGAAACAAATTTTTTCTTGATCAAACAGGCCTACTTTATAGGCTAAAGTCAGCACTTTGAATTGTGCTCAGTAGCAGCCAGTGGAGCTAGCGTAACAGGGGAGTTGTATGCTCCCTGTATGCTGCTCCAGTGAGGAACCTGGCTGCCACCCACTGGACCACTTGAAGCTTCCAAACAATCTTCAGTGGCAACCTGAAGCAGAGCGTGTTGCAGTAGTCTATTCTCCTTGTAATATCTGATCAAAATCTGTTTCTGGGCTTTCTCTTTCTCCACTCAACCCATTCCATAACAGCCAGTTACTTTGTCCACATTTTTTAAAAAATCATAGCCCAGTCTTTAATTGTCCCATCTGGATTTAAGAGGTCAAACAATCAACTTCCTTCCACTTTGCTTTAATTCTTTTGCCAAATATCTGTTCATCTTTATTATCTAATATCACTATTGGGTGTATATCTATTTAATTTCTTGGGGATTCATTTTGCCATTTTTTCCAACATTCCATGAAGGAGGTCCTTAGACCCCCTTAGTTTCCTTTAAACACATACAGCAAGGAAAAGACTATTAGTAGAATCAATTTCAAAGGAACAACACAGTCAGTTGTTAATGTTTTTGGGGAGGAAGGTACATCTAGCAGAGGCCCTCCCTAGAGAACAGGACCCATCACTTTCCTCTTTTCAGAAGGACTTGAAGACCTTGTGGTTTCATCAAGCCTTTGATAAGGACTAGCCCCAGGCCCAATGACCCTGGCCTCTAGTTAAGGCCCAACCAGCAACTTATCCATTCTCTCGTTCCTCCTCCATGTCATGACACTGGTTTCCATCCTAGAATTTCATCTTCAAAATTGTCAGAAGACCCTGGAAAAAGTAGGCCCAGGCCCTACCTGTTCCAGAAATTAGGTCCACTCCTGGCACTTTACTCATTCTGGCCCACATATAAGCAGGGTGTTTGGTAACTCATCTTGCACAATGGATTATGGAATCCATTTGTTTTAATGCAGAGGATTATGTTAACAGGTTATGTTTATATTTTAATGGCTACTCTGTATGTTTTATGTTTGTTTGTGGAAACCGCTCTTAGTCCCTTAGGGGAGATAGAGCAGTATATAAATAAAGATGATGATGATGATGATTATGAGTATTATTATTATTATTATTATTATTATTATTATTAGTAGTAGTAGTAGTAGTAGTAACAGCAGAGGAGCAACACAACAAGAACAGTCAGTTTTTTGTGATTTTTAATTTTTTTTAATAAACAGGAACAAGGTTATTGAACAGCCAATTGGCCTTATCCAAATGGACAATATAAACAGAACATGCAGTATACATCAAGTCCAAATAATTTTTTGATTAATAGTTACTCCTGAAGGAATGATTCTTTGGAATGGGATTATTATTGACAATAACAATCTTTTATGTCCTGATGGAGGCTGGAGTTCAGAGACAGATGATAGGTTCGGCTGGCTTGACAAATGTTAAAGTTTCTCCACAGATTGAAGCCCCAAACTAAGAAAGATTCCCCCAGGCACTTCCAAGTCATTAAATGCTAATCAAAGTGGTCAGTTGAAATATTCATACCTAGCACCAGCAGACAAAAGTCCTTTGTCCCACCCTGGTCTTTCCACAGATATATAAACCCATTTTCTTACTTCCAACAGACCTCACTACCTCTGAGGATGCTTGCCATAGATGCAGGCGAAACGTCAGGAGAAAATGCCTCTAGAATATGGCCATATAGCCCGGGAAACCTACAACAACCCAGTGATTCCGGCCATGAAAGCCTTCGACAATACATTAATTTTGTGGTTCTTCTTACTACTGGCAACAGCCAAAGGATTATTACTAATACTTATTGTTATTATTATTATTATTATTATTATTATTAAAGCTGAGAGCAAACGGCAAGGCAATCATACTAAAGCACCTCTCTAGAGCCAGGACACAATTTAGAACAAGAACAATAAACACAGCTTGCGCAAGACACATCACAATGTTCTCCTATTCTGATTTGCCCAACAAGTAGGGCTCACAGGAAAACCTTTTTGTGAGCCAGAAAAACAAGGTGGCTGAGCCCTTACTATTACAGCCAGCTGAACAAGCCGAAAAAGACAAATTCGCTGAAGAGAACTGAGCGAACCGAATTCATGCACAAGCCTAGTGGGCATCAATTTTTTAAATATATATTTGTATTTGAATGATTGGCAAGTCTTTAATTCCTTCTTTTTGTTAGTTGTTCCTTTGTGTTCAGCTCAGGCTTCACTAAAATAATGTAGCATTTTGGTGAAAAGATACAGCCCAATAAACCGACACTGGAAGTCAAAATTGAGAAAATCTCCACAGCCACCATGTATTTGCCCTTCGTGCTCAGGTATGTCGGAATGAAGCACATCCAAACACTGCAAAAGACCAACATGCTGAAGGTGATAAATTTAGCCTCATTAAAACTGTCAGGCAACTTCCGGGCTAAGAAAGCCAAAGTGAGGCTGACAAGAGCGAGGAAACCCATGAAACATAGAAGAGAATAAAGCATACCACCTGAGCCTTCATTGCATTTCAGTACAATTGTTTGAGTCACTGAGTACATGTCAAGGTCTGGGAATGGAGGAGAGATGATCAGCCAGATGCTACAAATCACAGCTTGAGAAAACGAGCACAAAAGAACAATGGAATATGTGAATCGCTTCCCCATCCATCGCCTTATCCTGGATCCTGGCTTGGTGGCAATGAAAGCCAGAATGACCGTGATGGTTTTGGCCAAAATGGAAGAAAGTGCCACTGAGAAAATCATGCCAAAAGCAGTTTGTTGAAGGAGGCATGTCACCTTCCCAGGTCGGCCAATGAATAGCAGAGCACAAGGGAAGGAAAGCAGGAGGGAAGTCAGAAGAATGTAGGTGAGGTTCTTATTGTTCGCTTTGACAATGGGAGTGTCCCTGTACATCATGAAGATGCCCAGAATGAAGATTGTGATGAGAGAAAATTTGAGAGCAAACACAGTTAAAATGATCCCCAGGGGCTCTCCAAAAGACAAGAAGGTGATTTCTTTAGGGAGACATTCATCCATGTAATCATTTGGATATTGATATCCAGGGCATTCAAAGCATGCATCCATGTCTGAAAAAGAAAAGAAAGCTTTGTTGGAGCATTTAAAAATCAGTTGGTGAATGTGTTAACTGAAAAATGCAAAGCATGAAGCTGATTGATTGGGCTACGGCTGAGAAGCTAGCTGAGCCTGGGAGTTTTGGCAACAGTTACATGTTGAGGTTTTCTGTGCAGGAGCTTACCAAGACAGTATTTCCTGCTTCTGGGCTGCTAGAAGAAGATCCTTCACATGGACACCTAAGGACCATTTGAATCTCTCTTAAAGGACATTTTGTGGGTCAATGCAACTGTTCACATGACTGTATATATGTTGCTCTGCATAACAAAGAGTAAACACCTTATTCTTTACTAGAAAGACAGGATTGGTAAAGAGGTAAACTATGCATGATTTTCATTCCACCACAAGTTTTACCTTTGGCCAAAAATCTGAAATCCTGTTTATTGGAAGTCACACAGCTTGTTTTTATCTGCAGCCTTGCTGCGTCTGTTGGATTTTAAATTGGTAGGGTTTATATTAGTATGCTGTCTTATGTACATGTAGGTTGTTTTATGCAAATTTATGTTGTTTATGTCAATGTATGTTGTTTGTCATTGTACTGTTGTGTGCTTTTTATGAGCTGCCCTGACTCCTTTCGGGCGATGGTGGTGGGGTATAAATAACATTATTATTATTATATTATTATTATTATTATTATTATTATTATTATTATTTAAAACACAAGATTAGCACATAGCAAATAAGATCACTATGCTGGTTGTTGTATTGGATCACACATCAGATACCTCCCAAGTGTCTAGGACTATGTGATGTATCGGCGAATAATAATAATAATAATAATAATAATAATAATAATAATAATAATAATAATGTCTTGTGCATTGAGCCAAACTGTCTCAGAAACTGAAAACCAAGCCAATATCCTTTCAAATTCATTGTATTTGCAAAAAGACATAATCAAGTATGATCCCAAATTCAGGGTGCAATGTGTAGAAAGAAAACTCATCTCCATTGATTAAGGGTTCATCCAGACTGCAGAATTAAGGCACATGACAGCACTTTAAGTACAATGCCTCAATATTATGGAATTCTGTGAGGTGTAGTTTTACAAAATCTTTAGGCTTCTCTATGAAAGATACCAAAATGCACTTTTCAAGGTGAAAAATTGCACATTGAGATGGCTGTACAAATGGATCCTTGGCAAATGCAGATTCAACACCTGTTTAGAGTGGTCAAATTTGTAATTTTGCTAATCTCTTTGGAAGAATACTCTGGCTATGAAGAATAATCAGGTTGTAGTCTACTTCTTTTGCCAGAGTTTATTCCTCAGTTCAACCAAATGTGAAGTCATATTTGTGTTCTACTGAGAACATACTTAGATGTAGCCCAGCCACATACTTTTCAATTGGACCAAATTAGATTACACATGAAAAATTAGAGAATATGCTATAGTTTAATCCCCTGTACTGACTTGTTGTAAACTGCCTTGAGTCGCCAATAGGCTGAGAAAGGCGGTATACAAGCATAATAAATAAATAAATAAATAAATAAATAAATGAATAAATAAATCCACTATTCTTATACCGCACCAGACCTAGCTATTCTAACTTGAAATAACTGGATAACATTTTAATATTGACCATCTTTTGAGAATCAAGTTTCTGGAATTGATATATGGTGCCTGATTCTACCGACAAATACAGAATATTATGTTTCCTACCTGTCTGGTTTGAAATCTTGCCTTCTGGACACGAAAGGCAATTATAACAACAAAATTGTTCTCCTTCCATCATTCTTTTACTAAAGCCCAACAGGCATTTTTCATTACATCTAGAGAGAGGTGGCATCTGCCCATTTAAAAACGAAACAAACAAAAAGGCAGGAGTTATAGATTGTTTCATTCTAGAACAGGAAAATAGTGTGAAACATGTCATTTATGCAATGAACACCAAGCAATTTAAAGTTGTTTTTCCCCTCAATTTCAGGAGCGACTTGAGAAACTTCAAGTCACTTCTGGTGTGAGAGAATTGACCGTCTGCAAGGATGTTGCCAAGGGGACAGATGGATGTTTTATCATCCTGTGGGAGGCTTCTCTCATGTCTTTGCATGAGAAACTAGAGGTGACAGATGGAAGTTCATCCCATTCCCTAGATTTGAACCGCTGACCTTTTGGTCAGCAGTCCTGCTGGCACAAGGATGCAACCCATTGTGCCACTGCAATTAGCTTTGGTCTAATAATACGTCAGTAGTGTTTGCAAAGAAAAGGCATGCTTGCAAGAGAGATTAAAACCTGTGAAACAGCCATCCTTGGAAGATGCTTTTTTTTACTACACTATTCTACATTTTACATTCACCTCACAAACCTGATTTCCCTATTTATTTGTTTTACCTTAAACAAATATTTCCAATTTCTTTTTGCAAGTATGTAAAGAAATTTAGTTATTTCTGGTCTTCCAAGCCAAAAAACTTCAGTAGCAGCAAAGTTTTGATACTTTGTTTGATTACTTGCCATATGAGTTTCAATGGGTACTCCCAAATACAGTAGATACTAGGGATGTGTGATCCATTAAAATGGTTCAAAAGTCATTATAAAACTGGGGAGGGGGGCTTTGGTGCTTCATTTCTAAAGCATTTTAAAGTATATTTGGTGAAAATTCCATTACTGTAACAAGGCTAATGAAATTTCGTTACTATTTTGTTACAGTTGGGCATAATTAAATTACTATCATTGGGGAAATTTCAGGGACTCCCATCTCCCTCATTTTTAAAGTTATTGTTGTGAAACTTGCAACAATGATAGAACACATTTACCACTGTTAGCCCACCAAATTTCAAAACACTTCACTTATCCATGGATTTTTGGCGAATTTTCAAAATTTAACCCCCCTGGTGGCACAGTGCTGAGCTGCTGAACTTGCTGACCGAAAGGTTGATGGTTCAAATCAAGGGAGAAGAGTGACCTCCCGCTGTTAGGCCCAGCTTCTGCCAACCTAGCAGTTCGAAACATGCAAATGTGAGTGGATCAGTAGGTACCGCTTCTGCAGGAAGGTAACAGCACTCCATGCAGTCATGCCGGCCACATAGCCTTGGAGATGTCTATGGACACATTGGCTCTTTGGCTTAGAAATGGAAATGAGCACCACCACCCAGATTCAGACACGACTAGACTTAATGTCAGAGGAAACCTTTACCTTTACTTTACTTCATTTATCCACAGATTTTGGACGAATTTTCAAAGTTTTTATAAACAATCTTTTTTTAATAATAAAGAAAATCTGTTTATACTTTGAAAGTGTTATTTCCTGTTTAATTATTTCTGGTCTTCCAAGCCAAAAAACTTCAGTAACAGCAAAGTTTTGATACTTTGTTTGATTACTTGCCATATGAGTTTCAATGGGTACTCCCAAATACAGTAGATACTAGGGATGTGTGATCCATTAAAATGATGGATCACACATCCCTTTGAAAGTAGTTGCCCTACTCCACAAACCTTTTTGTGTCACAAACTTTGTTAAATTTCTGGTGGAGACTCAACAAAGCTCAGTGTGCTATGGGGCGATGTCCACTCCAGAAAGACAAAGATTTTGCAATGTAATAAACGTTCACCATGTATTTATAACAGAACCAATTAAGAACTGTCATTTATAACCCAGGAACAGAAATCAAGTGACCTGAAGACTGACCCCCTTCTTCCGGGCAGAAAGGCACCATCTAAACACTCCTGACATCCAATTAATATTCTTCCCCTATTGAGTTGGAGGGGACCCCAAGGCCCATCCACTTAGGTCATTAGGCCATCTCCAACACTTACATAACAATTTTCATTACAGCAAAAGTATCTGGCTTTTCTGTGAAAGTGAACTTACCTGGTCGAAGATGCTGGGCCACACAATGGCATCCTCCTGAATGGTGAACATCTTGTCTGCAGGACCTTGAGGTTCCATTGTGCCAACTTTTATTCTAACAAAAGACTCATTTGGGAATGTGACCCAGTTCAAAATATCAAAATGTGTTAATAATTCCCCATTTTGATTGAAGGAAATCTCTTCCCCAGCATTATTGTTAAATGCAACTCTTCTCAGAAACTGGTGGATCTAAATGAGAGTATGAAGGAAATTATGAAGAGCCCACATAACAATGAAAATATAACTCAAAATGATGGTTTGTACTATCAGGCACTAACTACCTCTGCAATGTGCAATAGCACTTTCTTGCTGGTGTCCCTATTTGCAACTGAACCATTACACATTGGCTCCCATTTCATATCTATCCCAATGAGCATAAATCCCAATGTGCTATGATCATGTTTCTAGCTCTCTTGTGCAGTCATGTCACAACAATATCTTGCTGAATAGGAATGAAATTAAACTGCTTTATTCTATTTCCCACATATGTAAGTACTTTTATGAAGGCATACATCTCCACTTGAACTCTGCCTTGTTAAAACCTTTGTGCCCATACTTTGATTGATAATATCTTGAGTGGTACCAAGCTGATATATGTTGCATATAAAGCAATCGATATAATTTAATGTGGAGGCCCCGGTGGCACAGTGGGTTAAACCACTGAGCTGCTGAACTTGCTGACCGAAAGGTCACCTGTTTGAATTCAGTGAGTGGGGTGAGCTCCTGCTGTTAGCCCCAGCTTCTGCCAACCTAGCAGTTCGAAACAATGTGAGTAGATCAATAGGTACCGCTCCAGCAGGAAAGTAATGGCGTTCCATGCAGTCATGCTGGCCACATGACCTTGGTGTCTACAGACAACACCTTACAATTTAATACAAAACACTACATGTTATTATTTATCTAAAGCAAGGATTCTCAAACTTTGAAAGCCACAGAACCCTTTTTGAAGGAATAGTTTCCCGCGGAGCCCCAAGAAACTTATGGACACTTAGGGGCTGGATTGCATTTTAAAAATTGACATACAGTCTGGATCAGTGGCAGGTGGATGGAGAATGTTTGTGTGAACTAATTGAAAAAAACATGAACAAATTCCTATGCACACTGCACATATCTTGTTTGTGGGGCAAAAAGAAAGAAAGAAAGAATATTCAAAATGAAGACGTGGAAATGGAAGACACCCTGGGCCATTCAATCTAACTGCTTTCTGCCCTGCAGGAAAGGCAGAATCAAAGTACGCCGAAAAGATCACCATCCAGCCTTTGCAATAATAATAATAATAATAATAATAATAATAATAATAATAATAATAGGATTTAAAGATAGAACTACAAAGACTCTGGCACAAGCCAGTAAAGGTGATCCCAGTGGTGATCGGTGCACTGGGTGCAGTGCGTAAAGACCTTGGCCTGCACTTAAAAACAATCAGTGTTGACAAAATTATCATCTATCAGCTGCAAATGGCCACTCTACTCAGATCTGGACACATTATTCGCCGAAACATCACACAGTCCAAGACACGTGATGGAATACAAAAGCCAGCATAATGTACTTGTTTGCTGTGTACTTATCTTGTTATGTATCAAATAATAATAATAACAATATGATGTTGATGTTGCAATCCCAGGTAACAGCAGAATTGATGAGAAGCAACTGGAAAAGCTGACACTATATGAGGATTTAAAGATCGAACTGCAAAGATTCTTGCACAAGCCAGTCAAGGTGGTCCCAGTGGTGAATTATTAAACTGCAAAAATATGATTTTGCAGGACATCTTGCAGAACATTTTGCAACAGATACTACACTTGATCTTAGCCAAAAGGCCGAGAAGCAACAGTGTTTCAATGAACATCTCTTAGAGTCTCAACCAATTCAACATAGTTTGTGGCAGCTGCAAAAATGAAGTTTCTGAAGTATTATTATTATTATTTGCATTATTTCTACTCCGCTCATATCAGCCCAAAGGCGACTCAGAGCGGTGTATAACAACTACTTTCAAAGTAAGTACCACACAATTAAACAGGATATTACACTTTTAACCCAGGAACAGATTTTTCAAAAATTGTTACATGATGCTATTCAACCAATAAAGTCTTCTGCATTAGTGAGAGTACCTGCCATGGATGTATATTCCAAAGTTCCTCTCTTCCACCATTCAGCACTGGATTGCTCTTGAATTTGGATGAATACATGGCCTGCAAAGCATGTGCAACTGCATAGACAGCATTGTAAACACTGTAGCTATGGCTGGTCATGCTCGTTTCAAAAACAGACACAGAAAGGGTCTCTAGCTTCTCCTTCCAAGTGCAAGGTGTCATATCTTCGTCATCTTCCTCGCCCAACAAGCAATCAGACAAAGAGCAATTAAATGCCTCTTCCCAGAAACCCCACAGAAACTTGTCTTCTTTTTCTAAGTAAGGGTTTCGTGTCTGTAGAAACTGTTTGAATCCTAAAGGTTCTTCTGAATGAACTGCAAAGGATAGAGCCCCATGAAAGAAATGTACACTCATGTCTCTATGATGAGAAAGTGATGCAAACTCCATCTGAGCTGTCATAACCCACACTTTTGGCCTCCTTTGCAGGAGTGTACCAAACAATTCTACAGTATTTCCTACGAATATTATTGCCATAATAGTATGAATTTCACCATGCACAACCGCCACACTGGCAGTACATCTAATAAGAAACAGGATGATTTCCTTATATCCATCTAGTAATTTACCACTTCCCCCAGGAAAGGTAATTTGGGGCAACCTTGCTACAAATTGAAAGCAAATTCCTTTCTGAGCAAATGTGGGAAGAACATTTCGTACAAATCCCTCTCCAGTATCATCATCCATAGAAACTACTCCAATCCATATCCAGTTGAAATGCAAGAGTAACTTGACAAGCCCTTCATACTGATAACCAATGTTTGGGAACATGCGGTGGAAGAAATGGCCTTGTACTTCATTATTCACCCCAGGAGATGATCCAAAGATGAGCTATAAGGAGACAAAAATAGAGAGGAACTGAAGTGATATCAAACATGAACCCCTATTAAATACGAATCAAAAGTTTCTAATTTCTTCAGCCATTATATTAGCTTAACAAAATATTATTTTTATGTTAATGCATAGGAATGTTTACACTACTTTTGTAAAACTTGACTTTATATCACATCTAGTCCTCCAGATATTGTTGGGCTCCCAATCAAACATAAATACTACTTAAATATGAATCAAAAGTTGATATCAAAATCCACAAATACTTAAATCTCATTATATACAAAGGAGTAATAGCATAGTATATAAAATGGCCAAAAAAACCCTCCAAAGTTTGCTATTTGGATATGTTTGGGAGCTGTTTGTATTATTTGTACCCATTACCCTTCTTAGAAACACTCTTATAAATGTAGGACAATTTTAAGCAAATATCCAAATTGAATTAAAGTGTCCAGAAAATTATACTTCTCCCTACAGCCTTTGTCTCTGATTTCTCTTGTGGACTTCTATTTGACATAGGTCACAAATTATTAGTCTTTGAGAAGGAATCAACTTCAAATTATTTCTACATTTTGTATGATTAAACACAAAGGATCTGATTAAAGACCTAATCACACTAGAGAATGAATCCACTTTAAATCCGGTTGCTGCCTCCTGGAGAATTCTGGGGTTTGTAGTTTAGGGAGGCACCTTTAACAGCCTCACTGTGAAGTCTTGGCTCGGCCTTCTTTTCTCCTCTGCTTTAGTTCCCCCTGTTTATAGACCTTCCCTGATGAGGAGGTATTGGAAATATAGATATTGATTTATGTATAAATTGTATGTACTTTACAAGCACTGATATGTATAGAAAAATCAGGCTCTTTCTGTATCAGAAAGACTGCTAACAGGACAATTAAGCTACTTCCAGGCACAGCAAGAGTGTTTACATTGTTTACAATGCTGTCTATGCAGTTGCACATGCTTTGCAGGCATTCCAGGAGAGAGATAAGCCCGTCATAGTAGCAACAGATACTGGTAAAAACGGAGCCAATACCCCTCCCTCATGACAGGTCAAAGTAGGCCTCTTGATTGATGAATGTAAGCTGTATGCTCCTGCTAGAAAGAAATACACAGAGACATGCCTTTTGTATGTTGGAAGATAGAATTTGGTATTCCTATGATGCTAAAATGACAAAGAAAATGACGTCAATATATGTAGAAGTATGTTCTTTGTTTGCCTGCAATTGGAGAGTATAAAAAGGCCATCAACACCTATATCATTTGCTCTGGTGCTTTTGGACACAGCGCCACTCCAGAGTCCCAGCTGGAAATAAAAGCCGTACTTTTCTGACCTCCTGAAGGGATCTCTCTTGATATAATCCCTCCTATAATATGCTGCAACATCCCAATAGTGTAGATACCTTCCTTTGTATTAGCTTTTGGGTGGAGCTTAAAATCCTATGCTTTCTACACATCTTACTTGTGACATCTTGTACATATACAGGATTGTTGCCATGTGAAGACAATAGTCAGTATTTGGTCCCGCAATCACCGCTGCTGGGAGATTCTCAATGCCACATTTGTAATTGGCAATGAATTGGTGCCCTCTAGACATCAGTTCCATTGCAGCAAGATAGGACCAACTTCCACTGAAACCATTGTTATAGATGTGGAAACCCAGTGTGACATTGGGCAAGAGGTGCCGGTTTTCATTTATATCCTTGACAGCAAACACAAAGGCCGCGATGTGCTGATAGAGTTGTGTCATTAGCCTGTAAGGAGTGATATTTACAATGTAAACTATCTTCTTCAAATGAGAGCATTTGTTCCTGTTCATCTACATGCCTCTTCCAAAGTCTAGCATTACTTTGGATGCTACTATAAGTACGCGAGCATCTCCCAAATTCTATTGTTCCATATATATTTTTACTCCTATTATTTATGTTACAGGTTTTGAAAAGGAAATGCATTGTAACACGTGTCAAATCACACCAAATGCTGCCCTGAGTCCTTTTGGGGAGATGGTGGCAGGATATAAATAAAGTATTATTACTATTATTGAAACAAAAGCACAGTATGTCACAGCAAATGAGATTTCGTATCACAAAATCACAAGTCGAACACTTCCCAAGCGTCTAGGACTGTGTGATGTATTTTCAAATGATGTCCGCAGATCCAAGTAAGGTATTTTTATTATTATTATTTGATAAAATCTGTTAAAATTATCCATATGAATTATATTTTTACAGCATTATATTTGCCTAAGAAAATGCTATACTGCTGGGTGCTTAAACTCTACCATCTCATGGCAAATGGCAAAAGTAAGAGTAATCCAGGGCAAAGTATTACATGTTCTTATGCTTAAATAAAGGAGTAAATAACATGTACAATGCAAAACAATAAATCAATAAATAAAGGATTTCCGTATTCCAATCCAACCACTGGTTGCAATATATTTTGACCCAGTTCTTGAACAGAAGGACAGCATATTCTAAGAAATTCAAAACAATTATAATAGGTTATGTAATAGGTTATAATACACAAGACCTAGTTATTCAAAACAGAAATCTTAAATGAGACATTTCAATGTATGCATTTACAGAACAGAAGCCAAAATGAATATTAGACTATTACTAACAGGGATATGAAAAATATTAGGCTTATATGTATTGTACTTTGCGGCACCGTTCCATTAACACAGTGTTTCTCAACCTGGGGGTTAGGACCCCTGAGGGGTCTCAAGAGGGTGTCAGAGGGCTAGCCAAAGACCATCAGAAAACACAGTATTTTCTGTTGGTCATGGGGGTTCTGTGTGGGAAGTTTGGCCCAATTCTATCATTGGTGGGGTTTAGAAGATTGTAGTTGAACTATAAATCCCAGCAACTACAACTCCCCAATGTCAAGGTCTATTTTCCCCAAACTCCACAAGTATTATTATTATTTTATTAACTACATTTCTATACTGCTTTTCTCACTCCTGGGGGGACTCAAAGCAGTTTACAACATAATAAATGGCAAATTCAATGCCTCACATATATATAAAAATATCACATATCTAAATCAATAACATATAACTGTAGATAAAAACCGTTAAAACTATAAAAACATCAAACATAGACATAAATATGAAACATATTATTGCGGCAATTAACAATGTAGACCCCTTCTCTTCTCCCCCCACCTGACTCCCCAACTCTCTCTCCATAGCGTTTCAGCCCATCTTTTTACCCACCCTGCTTTCCCCACATCCCAACAGACACAAAGTTATTTAAGTACAGATTGAATACAAAATGGGAAAGATAAAAAAAAAGGCCCAGGCCTTCTTGGGGGATGGTAAATGTGATATGAGGTCCTTGGGGCGGGCAGAGGGAGAGTCTTATCTGATGATGGTAGTAGGCTATTGATCAGTTTTGTAAAAGTCCAGAGGAACCTAGATTTTATCAGTTGTGGTGTCATAAGTCAGGTGTGAGCTATCACTTGCCAGTAGATTGAGGATGGGGAAGGGCAACAAAGTGCAGCTGCCCCTGAGGAGCGTTGGTGTGTAGGCTGCACCTTCCACCCTGGAGGAGCTGAAGTCTCCTGGACTCCTTTTTCACCTCCTCCTTGCTGGCTGTTGGAGGGAGGGGGCAGTGAGGTGTAGCAGCTGCCAAGGAGAGTTGGTGTGTAGGCTGCACCCTCTACTCTGGGGAAGTTGAAGTCTCTTGGCCTCCTTTTCACCTCCTTCTTCATGACAAGTTTGGTTCAGATCCATCATTGTTTGAGTCCACAGTGCTCTCAGGATGTAGGTGAACTACAACTCCAAAACTCAACGTCAGTGCCCACCTTCCAGTATTTTCTGTTGGTCATGGAAGTTCTGTGTGCCAAGTTTGGTTCAATTCCATCACTTTGATTGTAGGTGAACTATAAATCCCAACTCCCAAATGACAAAATCAATCCCCCCAATCTCACCAGTATTCAAATCTGGGCATACTGGGTATTTATGCCAGATTTGGTCTAGTGAATGAAAATGCATCCTGCATATCAGATATTTACATGGTGATTCATAACAGTAGCAAAATTACAGTTGTGAAGTAGCAACAAAAACAATTTTATGGCTGGGGGTCACCACAATATGAGGAATGTATTAAGGGGTTGCAGCATTGGGGAGGTTGAGAAACACTGCACTAACATGAGCTATAAGATTTTGAAAGCCCCATCATAAGGCCAGCATAGCCAGAAGGAAAAGGGAGTCTGAGACCTCCTGACTTAGAAGTATGAACTAAAAAAGGGGAGAAAATTACCACGATATCAGAATTTATCAGTCACTGAAATCAATAGCTTGAAACTATATTATGTCAAAATTATCAATGGCTTTAGTCTGGATTTAATTACATTGCCATGATCATACATTAGCAGGCTAATGAAAAATTGCTTCCAATATTTCTTATTTATTTATCTACCACACTTGTACTCTGCCCTTCTCACCTGTGAGGGCAGCCTCACAAAAGCAACAATACAATGTCGCATATACATAAGCATAAAATTGATAAATAAACAAATGCATTCAAACAAACCCAATTAAAAATGTAGACATTAAAACATAAATTATAAATATTTTATACATTTATAACATAATATAAATGTATGATATCATGAAATACCAAGGACATACTTACAGGGGATTTATAGTAGGTTCTTTAGATGGATGTGTTACAAATAGTCTTGTGCCATGCCGTAAGTATACCTGAGACATGATTCCACCAATGATGACTTCTCTAGGAAGATAATACTGATGTTGTGTAAGGATAGGTTCTCTGATGGAACATTGAACCCTGCGGTTATGTCCTACCACTTGGGACATTAACATTAACAACAATACTGCAAATACTGTGATCTTGCAAGATAATATTAAATGCATGTAACCCGTCTCTTTCCACAATTGCATTCTAGCAATTTCCCTTTGTCTAGGAAAACCTGATTTGACTGGTTATTTCCTCTGCAGATTCAAAGCCAGAATGGTGAGGTGTCAAGAAGCAGTAGCTGGACCAAGAGCACTCTGTGTGTATCTATAGTCCACTTTGATAGAGGGCACAGGGGATTTGAACAGTCGGTCTTCCATAACAATTGTTTGCATCACCACTGTAACTCTTTAGGGACAGGAAAACAGAACTAATTATGGAGGGGACAAAATAACTTGCTTTGGATTGTAGAAGAGAAAACATGTTTGTCACATCTCAGGAAAAGTTTTCTCTGATATCGGTCTTTGGGAGAACAAGTAAGTTATGGGCTAGCTGACTTTAATTTCCTGTGTTGACTCTACAGTATGAACACCATATCCATTTTTGTTATACTTTGGAAACTACCCTGAGTCCCTTTGGGGAGAGAGAGCAGGTTATAAATAAAGTGTTGTTGTTGTTGTTTATCATGGAAACAGGAAACTGCAGATAATACCAAACCCTGTTGAAAGGAATGTCTATGGTTACTTCTAAGTAACCTTAGAGTTACCTCAGAGGATCTAAAATTTTGTGAAGAGGTATCTTCTCTAGGATTTTTTAAAAGTCCACTAGGGTGACTCTGTGGTAACTTCTGAAAGAAGCATACCATAGGATCAACTGAGTAGGTGAAACTGCAGGTCCCTGTCCTGTTGATTTTGGAGAGGATCCCCCCAGGACCCTGTAAAGGATGGTTCAAAACCAAGAAATTCATAGTTTTACCAAGGACACCAGGTTGGAATGATCCCATAATTACCTATCTCTCCCCCATGTGGGAACCTAAGGCTCTTTCCATGGCCCCATGGCCCCACATGCCCCTGTAACCCACACTTCATGGACTTTCTTATGAACTTAAAAAAAAACTTTAATCAACTTTTCATGGACTTTGGAACTCTTATGGACCCTATACCAAACCCTTATGAACTTTTATGATATTTCATTGCTCTATATGAACCTTTGATGGTCTCTGGAGGGAGGGCTGGCATGATTCCCTATGCAGTTTGCATGATTTTACCCTTATGAACTCCTTGACTGTTTCCCCTGCCCCATATCCCTATATGAAACATGAAATGTCACCTCTTTGTGAATCTAGCCTCTCAGGGCTCCAGGAAACTCTCATTTCCCGGACTAGCTAATCCCTAAACAAAAGGATTCACCAAAAACATTTTTGCACGACTGATAAACAAATGCCCCACTTACTTCCTCAGACCTCGGAGAAGTCAAAGACTTGCCCATCTGAGGGATGGATCCTATTTATTATTTATTTATTTATTTATTTATTAACTTTATTTGTACCCCGCTAGCATCTCCCGAAGGACTTGATGCGGCTTACAGAGGCCAAGGTCACAATAAAACAACAATATAAAATTACATATAAACCAAAGCAAATCAAAAACATTAAAGCAATAACAGCAACAATAAAACAACACGCCGTGGTACAATAAAAACTAGGCCGGGCAAATGTAATGGGTACAGATTAAAAAGTGCTGAGTGTGCTGAGTGATATATAAGGATTTTTTGATAGGTGCAATGTGCGGACAATCTTACTCTCTAATAAAGTGCTTTTGGGACATGTTGCTGGGGTTTTCCTATTCTGTAAAGGCACACCGGAATAGCCAGGTCTCCAAGCTCTTCCTAAATACTGCCAACGTAGGGGCTTGTCTGATGTCCTTGGGGAGGGAGTTCCAGAGTCAGGGGGCTACCACAGAGGACATTTAATCCTCACTCACAAAAGGTGTTTTTGTCACCTCCATCTCCTTCCTTTCGAGACAATCCCCTTGGCCAAAACTGACAGGATATCATCAGCTGATTTCATATCCCATACCGAGGGACAACAAAGGGACAGACTTCCTGATCAACTTCCAGAAACCAAAAACAATAGAGGAGTGAACTTGAAGGCACAATGTAAGCTATCACCCACACTTATCCAAACATCAACTATCTAATCCATTCATGTTTTCTCCTGGTTCATTGTTTCCCTGCCCAGACTGCCTCCTTCCTTCCCATTGGCTGAGAGGCTGAAGCAGCGCTGACTCTCTGATTGGCTAAGGTGCGGCTGAGCCAGCCGCACCTCCTAGCCAGCTGATGACTCCATCCAATCAATGCAAAGCCAGCAAGGGGGGGGGGGGCAGGAGTGGGAAATTTGAATCTGACAGCCTGTAATATTTTCCTTTGCAAAACATGTCAGCAAATGATTGCAGTTTGACATCTGCTCCAGCTAGAATGAAATAAAACAACTAGGTGGCATTTTCTTCATCTTTGGTGAGATTTATTTGGGAAAATTAGGGGAAAATCTTTGAGTGCTTCTTTCTCGCCAGGGTTAAAACAGATCCTCTTTGGTGGGTCTGATTGGTCTCTGTCTACAAAGCAAGACCCCCAAATTCGTGCTCAGTATCACTGTGGATACCAGGATTGCACTGTATAAAATTCTAGGCAGATGGTAATGTTTATCAGCTGGCTACTTACAACATGGAATGTGAGTTTCACTTGTGTACTGCAGCTTCACTGAACAGACGCATTGTGCTGCCACTAATAACTTGCTTTTAATTTTTAGATCGAGTCATTTATGCAGACTGAGGCCAAGAGACCTCTATTACTTAATAATGTTGCTTGAGGCTCTCCCACTCCATAGTAATATTTGCTAGTAGTTACGAATATTCTTCGAACTGATGCATTTATAAATGGCAATTAACCAATCATTTATTTAGTATTTTATTTATTTATTTACTACATTTTTACACTTGCCTTTCTCACCCGAAGGGACTTAAGGTGACTTACAATTCCAGCAAAAATTCAATGCTGGTAAAAACCAGCACTAACAATTAAAAAAAATTAAAAATGATTAACATTAAACAATAATAAATATACATCAGTATACAAAATTTTAAAAGCATATAAAGTTGATAGTTCTATTCATCCATAACCCTGCTCATAATCTTTAATTTAGACCATGTTGAAACCATAGAAACTTATTCTTCGAACGCTTGCGTGAGCCACAGAGCCAAGTCTTCAGCTTTTTCCTGAAACCCAGAAGGGATGGGATCTACCTGATGTTGCTGGGAAGAGAGTTCCACAGTCAAGGGGCCACAACGGAGTAGGCCCTGTGTCTCGTCCTTATCAGTCGCACCTGCTAAGGAGGTGGGACCAAGAGCAGGACCTCCCCAGAAGACCTTAAAGTTCTAATAAGCTCATAAGAGGAGATGTGTTTGAACATATAACTTGGGCCTGAACTGTATGTTTAGGGCTTTATAGGCCAAGACAAGCACTTTAAATTGGGCTCAGTAGCATATCAGCAGCCGGTGGAGCTGACGCAACAAAGTTGTATGCTCCCTGTACACTTCTCTGGTTAGAAGTCTGGCTGCTGCACGTTGGACTTGCTAAAGCTTCCGGGCCATCTTCAGAGGCAACCCCACGTACAGCATGTTGCAGTAATCTAAGCGGGATGTAACAAGAGCATGGACCACCAATTAACCAATTAGGAGCCTCCGGTGGCACAATGGGTTAAACCCTTGTGCCGGCAGGACTGAAGACCGACAGGTCAGAGGTTTGAATCTGGGGAGAGCACGGATGAGCTCCCTCTGTCAGCTCCAGTTTCCCATGTGAGGACATGAGAGAAGCCTCCCACAAGGATGGTAAAACATCAAAACATCAGGGCATTCCCTGGACAACATCCTTGCAGATGGTGAATTATCTCATACCAGAAGCGACTTGCAGTTTCTCAAGTCACTCCTGGTATGAAAAAAAAAATTAATGGGGAACTTCAAGCCCCAAACATTTGGAGCACATGAGGTATCTAGAGAACCAATGCCCCAAACGATAAATCTAAAGAATCTCTCCTCAATTATTAAAAGGATAAAGCTACATAGTGTTTCTTTGTGTACAATGTCCAGTATTTGGTTATGATTTGAAGCTACTTTGTAGATAGAAGCTCCTTCATCTATTTATTCTAAAGTTTTTAAAAATATGTGAATGATATGATACAAGCACCATCTGCCTTTCTAGACTGTGTTGTAAAATGAGATTTTTTTTCTTTTCTTAATGATTACTATTGGAAATCTCAGTAAAAGAAGAGCTATAGGGTTTTGTTAATTCTGTCCTCTTATTAGCTGGCCTTTCTTGTTTAGCTCTGGCCTTAAGATAATAATAAAGCATTTAGGAAAAAAGATGAAGGTTAGTAGACTTCCCCCAGAAGCTAAGATGGAGAAGACCTCCACAGCAACCATGTATTTCCCCTTGATGCTTAAATAAGTTGGAATAAAACACAACCAAACACTGCAAAAAACCAACATGCTGAAGGTGATGAATTTGGCTTCATTAAAACTGTCTGGTAACCTTCTGGCTAAGAAAGCCACAATGAAGCTGATGAGGGCTAGCGTGCCCATAAAGCCCAGGACACTGTAGAACATAACAGATGATCCTTCATTACATTCCAGCACAATTTCTTCAGGCATGGAGTGTGTGTTAACATCTGGGAATGGGGGAGAGGTTGCCAGCCACAGAATGGAAATGCCAACTTGAACGAGGGAACAAGAAAGAACAATGGAGATGGCAAGTTGCTTTCCTAACCATTTCCTTGTCCAAGATCCTGGTTTAGTAGCAATGAAAGCGAGAATAACAATCGTTGTTTTGGATAATATGCATGAAACTGCCAAAGAAAACATTAAGGCAAAAGCAACTTGTTGAAAAAGGCACAATATCTTGCTAGGTTGGCCAATGAACAGTAAAGCACAAAGGAATGAAAGGAGGAGACTAGTAAGGAGAATGTAAGTAAGGTTTGGGTTGTTGGCTCTGACTATGGGAGTAGTTCTGTGTCTAATGAAGATCCCAAGCAACAAAGCGGTGATGAAAGCAAAGGAGACTGCAATGGTGGCCAAACATATCCCCAAAGGTTCTTCAAAAGACAAGAAGATGATGGCTTTGGGAATGCATAAGTTCTGACCATTGCTGGGATGCTGATCTTCTGGACATTGTATGCAGTCATCCATGTCTGGAAAAGAAAACACGATTCCTGTTACAACCGTGTTTCTCAACCTTCCTCATGCCACGACCCCTTAATACATTTCCTCATGTTGCAGTGACCCCCAACCATAAAATTATTTTTGTTGCTACTTCATAACTGTAATTTTGCTCCTGTTATGAATCGTAATGTAAATATCTGATATGCAGGATGTATTTTCATTCACTGGACCAAATTTGCACCGGGATTGTGGCGCAGCTGGCTGAGTGTCAGCTGCATTAAGATCACTCTGACCAAAAGGTCATGAGTTCGAAGCCAGCCCGGGTTAGAGTGGGTTTCCAACCAATTGTGTGTAGCCTGTTGTCGACCTTTGCAACCAAAAGACAGTTGCATCTGTCAAGTAGGAAAATAAGGTACCACCTTAAAGTGTGGGGAGGCTAAATTAACTGATTTATGAGGCCATAAAGAAGACTCCAGCAAAGCATTCCAGCGGGGAAGCATGCGGGGAATGCGGAAGTGTTTCATCAGCGTCGCAGATGGACGATGAAAGCGACAGCTCCCCTGGCGGCCAGAAAAAGTTAAATAGCTCTGTGTATGTCTGTATATGTTTGTATGTCAAAAATTGGCATTGAATGTTTGCCATATATGTGTACACTGTAATCCGCCCTGAGTCCCCTGTGGGGTGAGAAGGACAGAATATAAAACCTCTGAGGATGTCTGCCATAGATGCAGGAAAAATATCAGGAGTGAATGCTTCTAGAACATGGCCATATAGCCCAAAACACCTACAACAACCCAGTGATTCCAGCCATGGAAGCCTTCTACAATACAATTATATTTTTCCACCAAAAGTTACCATAAAGTTAACTTGGAAGACCTAGAAAATTCCTAGAGTGGATACCATACTAGGAATTCTCTATATTCTCCAGGGCATCTCTATGGCCATTTCCATTTCAAATTGTTCATCTCAATAGATGTTGCTCTTTGAGGAAATCCCTCTTTCCTCACGGAAAATTGAGATATGGACAATCACTGTTTACATCAGTGACTACATTGCGAACAATCCTTTGAATTTTAAATTAATTAATATAATATATATTACAGCCAAACCCATTTTTTTCTTGGTATCTTAGTTTTTAGGCCTGTTTCTGGAGCTTTTGGGGTGTTGATTCAGAAAACCGAATTGGATTGGCTGCATAAATTCTAGTTTTTAAGATATAGTTGTCATGGTTTTCTGTAGGTAATCAGGTGGAAACTTGTAGATGGCATATATTCAAAAACTAGAGTTGATAGGGGAAAACAGGTGCCATTTTTCAAATCAATGAGCAAATATACCCAGAAACAGGTCTAACAATTGAGGCACCAAAACATGTATTGGCCAGTTCAGTTAATATCATAAAATGATAATATAATTAATGTCTATAAAACCAAATGTGTACATTCATATTTCAAGCCATAGCCAATAGAGTTGAACAACACTGTACCTTTTATATCTTACCAGTCTGGTTTGAAATCTTCCTTTTTGGGCATGGAATGCATTCATAGCAGCAAAATGGTTTTCCTTCCACCTTTACCTTACTGTAACCTGCACGGCAGTTTTCAGTGCACAAAGAAAGAGGATATTTCTGTGAATAAATGAAAGCAGTGTATTTTAATATTTTGTTTTTTTACTACTTTTGTTCAATAATAAAACAATGGTTTGTGTTCCAAACCCAGAAGACAACAGAAATTAATTTGCATATGTGCTAGATTTATTTCAATGAGTTTTCTGCTGATGGAAGTGCAGTGTGGGCTTACTTACTTTGCTTAGGCGATCCCTCGTAGTTCGAGGGTGATTGTCTTCCAGATATCATATCTTGGCGGTGGGTCCGTAGGTGACTGTGGAGCCCTATTCTTGATCTGCATGTTCTCCTGCAGTGAGGACATCAGTTTTCAGATGGAAGGCGGTCCCAATCAGGGTTGGCTTGATGTGCCTTTCTCTTGACACATTTCTCTCTTTCACCCTCCATTCGTGCCTCTTCGAATTCTGCAGCACTGCTGGTCACAGCTGGAGTGCTCAAGGACCAGGGCTTCCCAGTTTTCCATGTCTATGCCACGGTTTTTGAGGTTGGCTTTAAGCCCATCTTTAAATCTCTTTTCCTGTCCACCAATGTTCCCTTTTCTGTTCTTGAGTTCAGAGTAGAGTAACTGCTTTGGGAGATGGTGATCAGGCATTCAGACAACGTGGTCAGTCCAGCGGAGTAGATGGTGGAGGACCATCGCTTGAATGCTGGTGGTCTCTTCTTCTTCCAGCACACTGACATTTGTCCACCTGTCTTCCCAAGAGATTTGTAGGATTTTTCAGAGACAGCGTTGATGGAATCGTTCCAGGAATTGCATGTGACGTCTGTAGACAGTCCATGTTTCACAGGTGTATAGCAGAGTTGGGAGGACAATAGCTTTATAAACAAGCACCTTGGTATCCCTATGGATAACATTACAATGTTGTAGGGTACATTGTAATAGCCCATTGAAATCAGGTAATTTCTACCTTACCCAGGCATAGGAGGAGGTGCAAGATTCCCTTCCCAGGCAGACCACACATTTGCAGCTGTGAAGTTTGATCTGCCATCTCCCCCAATTCACCAATTGTGGGTTGATGATTCTGGTGAGCCACAAGAAGGGTTAGAAGGCACCAGGCATGTAGGGGGAGGGGGGGTTGAGGGGCTTCAGCCCTCCCCCACCCAAATTCTGATGGTGGTCCGCGAGTAGGCCTTACTGGTACATTATTTAAACATGTTTATTCATATCATGATCTGATCCCCATGCTCAATATATCCCATATGCATGGGGGTATTGGGGTAACGATACAAAAGGTTTGCTAGGGTAGACCCTCTTTCACTCAGACTCAGCCCCCCCCCCCCCCCCCCGGAATCAAAATCCTGGCTACGGGCCTGGAAGGCATGATCATCAAGTTTGCAGGTGACACCAAATTGGAAGGGATCACTAATACTCCAGAAGACAGGAGCAGAATTCAAAACAGTCTTAACAGATTAGAGAGATGATTGGCCAAAACTAGCAAAATGATGTTCAACAGGGACAAATGCAAGATACTCCACTTTGGCAGAAAAAAATCAAACGCAAAGATACAGAATGGAGAGTGTCTGGCTCAACATCAGTACGTGTTAGAAAGATCTTGGAGTCCTCGTTGACAGGAAGGTGAACACGAGCCAACAATGTCATACTAAAGTGAGCAGCACCTACCTGGTTATACACACTTGGCCAAGTGATATCATCTGCAGAAATGGTTAGCAGTTCATCTGGGGGAGCCTTGGAGTCTACTTTGCCAACTTTGACTCTGAGAAATGACTGGTTCGAGAATGTGACCCAGTTGATAATGTCAAAGCCAGCCTCTATTTGGCCATTTTGATCAAAGGATATCTTTTCCTCAGCACAGTTGTTAAATGACACACCTCTCAGAAAATGGTGGAGCTAAACAGAAGTAAAGGTAGGCAATTATTATTGTGACTGCATGTCTTTAAGTCCAGCTTAGAGACACTAAAGCAAACCTATTGTAGAGTTTCCAAGGAAAGATCTGATCAGAGATCCCTTCCTCTGAGAAGGAGCAAGTGTGACAACTCCATTTTGGATGACGCACCCTTGATCCTCCTCAGAGGAAGGAATAATAATAATAGACAGAAATAATACAGGATCGAAAAATCAGCGGATGACCCAAAATGCAGACTGTGCAAGGAAGCCAATGAAACCATGGATCATATCCTCAGTTGTTGCAAGAAAATCGTATAGACGGACTACAAACAGAGGCACAACTCTGTGGCCCAAATGATTCACTGGAACTTATGTCACAAGTACCACCTGCCAGCAGTAAAGAATTGGTGGGATCATAAACCCACAAAGGTCATGGAAAATGAACATGCAAAAATACTGTGGGACTTTTGAATCCAGACTGACAAAGTTTTAGAATACAATACACCAGACATCAAGATTGTGGAAAAGAAAAAAGTTTGGATTATTGATGTCACCATACCAGGTGACAGTTGCATTGAGGAAAAACTCAGCYGCTATCAAGACCTCAAAATCGAACTGCAAAGGCTCTGGCATAAACCAGTCCAGGTGGTCCCAGTGGTCATTGGCGCACTAAGTGCCATGCCAAAAAATCCCAGCCAGCAKTTGGAAACAATAAACATTGACAAAAATCACGATCTGTCAACTGCAAAAGGCCACCTTTCTTGGATCTGCACSCATCATTTGAAAATACATCACACAGTCCTAGACGCTTGGGAAGTGTTCGTGATTTTGTGATACAAAATCCAGCATATAGATCTCGTTTTCTGTGACATACTGTGTTTTTGTGTCAGTAAAATAATAATAATAATAATAATAATAATAATAATAATAATAATAATAATAATAATACTTTATTTGTAGACTGCCCTCTTTCCCCATGGGGACTCAGGGTGGTTTACATACATATAAAAGCCAAACATTCAGTACATCATTCAGATCACACAACATCCAAAATCCAAAATAGACAGTAAAAACTTATTAACAAAAATTAAGGATCAAATAATATAGATAGACATAATTAAACAAAGCATAAATACACTTAAAAAAACCCACAATTGCACAAAAACATATATAGTAAACAATTAAACGGCCGAAATGTAACCAGTACCTGACATTAATTGTGGATTAAAATAGACTGTAACAGCCATAAAGTGCTAATTAAATTGTGGTAGTCCTCCTCCTCTCCATACACTAAAGTGCATAAGTGTGCTTTCAGAATCTCTGTGACTGAGCAGGATATGAAACCCGAGTCAACAGAATCATAATCCAATTCTCAGACCACCACACCATGCTGGACCACAACACATTTCTTTAACTTTCTTGCCCCTTGGCATCTATTTAGCAATTCTGGAACCAGGATACAGATAAGACTTGAGTCGAATCCACCATGACTCTTTTATGAAAAACAACAAATTGTTGTTGTTTATTCATTCAGTCACTTCCAACTCTTTGTAACCTCATGGACCAGCCCACGCCAGAGCTCCCTGTTGGCTGTGGTCACCCCGAGCTCCTTCTAGGTCAAGCCAGTCACTTCAAGGATACCATCCATCCATCTTGCCCTTGGTCGGCCCCTCTTCCTTTTTCCTTCCATTTTCCCCAGCATCATTATCTTTTCCAAGCTTCCCTATTTTCTCACAATGTGGCCAAAGTACTTCATCTTTGCCTCTAATGTCCTTCCCTCCAGTGAACAGCTGGGTATTATTTCCTGGAGTATGGACTGGTTTGTTCTTCTCGGGGTCCAAGGCACTCTCAGAATTTTCCTCCTCCAACAACAAGTGCAAACTCTATATTTACATGGGAATGCTATAGTAGTCAGCAATTAAATGATTTTTTTCCACCAACAGCAACTTGAGAAACTACAGGTCACTTCTGGTGTGAAAGAATTGGCTGTCTGCAAGGACGTTGCCCAGGGGACACCCATGGGAGGCTTCTCTCATGTCCCCGCATGAGAAGCTGGAGCTGACAGATAGAGCTCTCCCTGCTCTAACCGCTGACATTTTGGTCAGAAATCCAGCTGGCACAAGAGTTTCAGCCATTGTGCCACTGGGGTCACATTATACATACAGATATGATGTATTTTCTTGTATTAATGCATTTGGAGCTTACCTGCCAAAATTGTAAGTCTAGAAGCATTCCTTTCCCTCCATCTGTCATTCCTCTGTGTTTCAATTTGGATGAAAGCATGGCTTGCAACGCATGTGCCACAGCATAGACAGCATTGTAGACACTGTAGCTCTGGCCTGTCATGCTCATTTCAAAAACAGACCCAGGAAGGGTTTCCAGTCTTTCCTCCCCACTGCAGGTCTTCCCACCATCCTCATTTAAAATAGGTTTAGGGAATGAACATTCAAATGCTTGTTCCCAAAAGATCCTCATAAAGCCATCTTCTTTTTCTGAAACAGGGTTTCTCATCTGGATAAATTTCTGGAATCCTAACACATCCCTTGAGGGAACTGCTAAGGATATTGCACCATGGAGGAAGTCTATGCTCCAAATTCTTTGAAACGGAAGGGATGTGAATTCCATTTGGACTGTCATAATCCAGATTATCCCATTTCTCAGTTCTGAAACGTCCTCAAATACTGAAAGCATAGGAAACATTCTCAGAAATATCATGATCTGATTTTCTCCATGTAAGAGGATAACATTAGCAGTGCTCTCCGTTATAATCCTATATGTTCTAAGCCAATCAGCTATCATTTCACTGAGATCAGCGGAAAATTTTTCTTTGGGCAGCGCCGCTATGAAATCAAAACAGATACCTTCATGAGTAAACATGGGTAGAACGCTCTGTGCAAACATCTCTCCGCTCTCACTACTTATGTAAAATAGCCCAATCCAGGTCCATTTGAAATGTAAGAGTAACTGGAGAATGCCCAGCATTTCCTTGTCCTCATTTGGAAACATGTGGTGAAAGAAAGTGGCCTGGATGTTGTCGTTCAACACTGAAGCAGAACCATATAAGAACTGTGGAAATAAAGAAATGAAGCAAAATAATATATTCCTAAAATAGTTTTTTGTGTCTTGTTTCTATTCTGTGTGGTGCAAATTGCAACTCTGAGACTGTTTACTCATCTGGCTACGGTCGTCCATGCTCTGGTCACATCCTGTATAGATTACTGCAACGCCCTCTACATGGGGCAGCCTTTGAAGATGGTTCAGAAACTGCAGTTAGTCCAACGGGCAGCAGCCAGATTACTAACAGGAGCTACATACAGGAAGCATACCACCCCCTTCTTGAGTCAGCTCCACTGGCTGCCTGTCCACTTCCGAGCTCAATTCAAAGTGCTGGTTTTGACCTATAAAACTCTATACGGTTCTGGCCCAGATTATCTGTCCAAATGCATCTGCTTCTACGTCCCACCTCGTAACCTAAGATCATCCGGGGAGGCTCTGCTCTTGCTTCCACCAACATTGCAAACGCGGCTGGTGGGGACAAGGGACAGGGCCTTCTTGGCAGTGGCCCCCCATCTGTGGAACACGCTTCCAAATGAGATACAATTGACCCTATCCTTCCTGGCTTGCAGGAAGAAAGTAAAACCGTGGTTGTGGGACCAGGCCTTTGGTCAGCAGACATAAAGCAGCACTTTGGTTGAAATGGACTGGAAAGACTATTTACATGAGGATACGGTTTTATTGGTAATTAAGATTTTATACTGTTTAATTAATGGCTTATGTATTTTATGTATTTTAATGGTTTGATGGTTTTTGTTTAATAGTTATTGTATTAATTGTTCATATAATGGCATCGAATTGCTGCCTATGTAAGCCGTCCTGAGTCCCCCTTTCGGGGTAGAGAAGAGACGGGATATAAATACCAGAAATAAATATAAGCCTTCCTGAATTCCATTCCTTTCCACATGAGCTTTGGCTAGGCTAATCTGTTAGTCTCAAAAATACTTCTGGATTCCTTTATGCTTTTTAAATTAAATAGATTGACATAGTCCTCTCTTTAGATAAAGGTATAAAATTCTACCATAAGCATTGCTGTTTTCCAATCCACTTCATGAGACTAGACCAGGCATGGGCAAACTTTCTAACCTGGCGGCTGAATGATGGGACGGAGTGGGTTTGGTGGGCTGGGAGGTTTGGGAAGTTCTCCTCAAGCCCCCTCCATACCCTTTCCTCCCCTTCCTCTTCTATTTTGGAGGCAGAAAGTGAAGGAAAGATGGGAAACGTTTAGATCCCAAAAGGCTTGGCCTTGTTCAGGATGAGATGGTGGACGGGAGAGAAAAAGTGTATCCATTAGACCCCATATTGCCCACTTCCGATATATAATCCTAGAATAGAAGAGCTGGAAGAGACCTCCAAGGGCCATCCAGTCCAACCCCCTGTCATGCAAAAAGGCACAGTCAAAGCACTTCCGATAGACAGCCTCTATGGAAAAGTCTCCAGTGAAGGGGACTTGCACCATACTCCGAGGCAGCCCCTGCCACTCTCCAACAGCTCTAACTCTTATTCTTCCTACACTTTTCAGACGAATCTCTTTGCCTGCCATTTGAAACCATTGCTCCCTTGTGCTCTCTTGGTCTCGAAAGTAGCAAAAAAATCAGTGTCCCCATTGCTCTATGGAACACCCTTTTAAATCTCAAAACATGGTTCTCATGTCTCTACCTTCTCTTCTCCCAGCTAAACATCCCCCAGGGGGAAAGGAGGAAGGAAAAAGAGAAGGAAGGGAGGAAAGAAGGGAGGAAGAGAAGGAAGGAAGGGAATGGAGGAGGAAAGGAAAGAAGGAAGGAAAGGAAGAAGGAGAAGAGAGAAGGGAAGGAGGGAGGGGAGGAAGAAGAAGGAAGAGGAGAAAAAAGAGAGGAGGGAGGAAGGAAGGAAGGAAGGGAAGGGAAGTGGGAGGGAGGAAAGAGAGAAGGAAGAGGAAGAAAAAGGGAAGGAAGGAGAAAGGAAGAGAGAGGAGGAAGGAGGAGGAAAGAGAGAAGGAAAAGGAGAAAGGAAGGGAAAGAGGAGGGAAAGGAAGGAAGGAAAAGGAGGAAGAAAAGAGAATGAAGGAAAAGGGAGGGAGAGAGGAAGAGAAGGAAGAGGGAAGAGGGAAGGGAGGAGGAAAGAGAAAAGGAAGGAAAGACAAAAGGGAAAGGAAAAGAGAGAGGGGGAAGGAAGAGGAAAGGAAGGAAGGACAAAAGTGTGGAAGGGAAGGAGGAAGAAAAGGGAGGGAGAGGAGAAGAAAGGTGTAAGGGAATGGAGGAGGGAAAGGGAGGAGGAAAGAGAAAATGAAGGAAAGACAAAAGGGATAGAAGGAGAAAGAGAGAGGGGGAAGGAAGGAGGAAAGGGAAGGAAGGACAAAAGGGTGGAAGGGAAGGAGGAAGGAGGAAGGAAGGAGGAAAAAAAGAGAGGGAGGGAGGGAGGAAGAGAAGAAAGGGTGTAAGGGAATGGAGGGAGGGAAGGAAGGGAGGAGGAAAGAGAAAATGAAGGAAAGACAAAAGGGATAGAAGGAGAAAGAGAGAGGGGGAAGGAAGGAGGAAAGAGGGAAGGAAGGAAGGGAGGGAGGAAGGACAAAAAGGTGGAAGGGGAGGAAGGAGGGAGGGAGGTAAGAAAGGAAGGGAAGGAGGAAGAAAAGAGAGAAGGAAGGACGGAGAGGATGGTGATAGAGGGCCTGAGAAAAGAGCCCATGGGGCCACATTCAGTCCCTGGGCCTGGGTTTTCCCATACCTGGACTAGACTGTGAGATCTTAGGCTAAAATAAACCATTTAGTTTCCAAAGTTGCTACTGGATTCCTTCATGCCACTTTGTGTGAAGTGTGATAACTCAACTATCTGTTTCAGCATTTGTCCCCCAACATCTGAGATTCCTGACTCACAATTCACATCAAATATCAACCATTAGTATTGATAAGCTAATAAAATGTGTTTTCTCCTAGAAAAGGAAAAATGAAGGAGGCAGACAAATGTAATAATATTAGCTTTCTTTGCATCTCGTGAGCACATCTTGCCTGTGGGATCTTGTAAATGGAAAGAACCGCTGCCATGAAGTAACAAGGATTTGGTCCTGCGATAACAGATATGGCCTTGTTCTGGATATCACATTTGTAATTAGGGATGAGTTTATCATGAGTAGAAAGAAGCTCCATTGAAGCAAGATAGATCCATCTTGCCAAGAAATAGCTGGTAGAGATATAGATGCCCAGGCTGGTATTGGGTAAAAGTCCTGGATTCCCATTTATCTCATGGATAGCAAATGCTATGGCCAGGATGTGCTGGTAGTGATGCGTCAAAACTCTGCAAGAAAAGTTGAAAAACTATGTCACAATGCTTCTATTTAAGTAGCTGAAACCTGCTACATTTATTTTTCAGAGCGTAGGTCATTGCAACAATAAAAGAAAACTGCTAAAATTACATGTTCCCTTATTCAAGAGGAAACTCAATGAAGAATTCCACTTCTACTGTTGCTAATACTAATGATGATATGGCCAAGAAGAAATTGCTTGGCTTCCTTTTGGCCATTCCCAGGCTTAATAAAATTGTAGCACATCGGATTCTTATTGTATTGTTGGAGGCTCTCATGGCAGGAATCACTGCAATGTTGTGAGTTTTCTGGGCTTTATGGCCATGTTCCAGAAGCATTCTCTCCTGACGTTTGAAATCCACAAGCAGGTGGATAGTTTCAACAAAAATGAAGACACCATGGAAATGAACAAAATCTGGCTACCGGTATTTAAAAACCCTCTAAAATCATAACAGTAAATAAAGAACAAAACTCAAAACCAGGGGAATTCCAGATAAGAATCAATCAGAGCCAGCTAATCACTTCCCAACAAAGGATTCCCCCAGACAGTAAGCAGCCAGACCTTGAAACTGCCAGGTCATTAAATGCTAATCAAGGTGGCCAATTGAAACATTCAGACTTAGAATCATAGAATCAAAGAGTTGGAAGAGACCTCATGGGCCATCCAGTCCAACCCCATTCTGCCAAGAAGCAGGAATATTGCATTCAAATTACCCCTGACAGATGGCCATCCAGCCTCTGTTTAAAAGCTTCCAAAGAAGGAGCCTCCACCACACTCCAGGGCAGAGAGTTCCACTGCTGAACAGCTCTCACAGTCAGGAAATTCTTCCTCATGTTCAGATGGAATCTCCTTTCTTGTACCTCAGACAAGAGTTAGTTCTCCCACCCTGGACATTTCACGGATATATAAACCCAATTTTCCTAGTTTCCAATCGACCTCACAACCTCTGAGGATGCCTGCCATAGATGCAGGTGAAACATCAGGAGAGAATGCTTCTGGAACATGGCCATACAGCCCGGAAGATTCACAACAACCCAGCATTCTTATTTTTATTCATATGTCTAGTCCTAAGTATGGTTTACATAAGAGCATCTACTCACATGAACTCACCAACCAGTTCTTCAGAGGGATGTCTTTTGAACATTATCAGGTTAGAAAACGTGTAGAGCTGAGAAATAATTGCGCCGATAAGGAAATCTCCAGAATGATAATACTTGTGCTGGATAGGAAATGGATTACCAATGGCACATTTGGCAATGGGAGTATAACACACCACTTCCAGCAGTACCACTAACACCAGTGCGATGAAAGGTAGCATCTTGTATCAAAATACACTAAACAGGAATGTACACTTCCAACACTGCTCCTAAGTATAGCCCGACAAGTATAGCCATACATGCATTTGACTGCAAGCCAGAAAGCAGCATAGAATGTGCAGAATTAGACTGAGGAACGCCTGCCAATCTCTAACTCAACAACAAAGAGAATATTAATAGTACTCCTTGCCATTGATTCGTTGTTTTGCCATGTTCATTGGAACATCTTTGAGATTTGAGAATACATAGAAGTAATCATGGTCATTATGATAATTGCAGGGCAGATAAACATGGAGTTATAACTCCCCCATGACATTTTTGAAAATAATGTATATGGCATTGGATCCACACCTGGTGGTACTTAGAATTCTCTCTCTGAAATGAATGAGAATTCTGTTCATAATAATGAAGTGGTATAATGGGTTGTTGTAGGTTTTTCGGGCTATATGGCCATGTTCTAGAACAGCGTTTCTCAACCTGGGGGTTGGGACCCCTGGGGGGGGGTCACGAAGGGGTGTCAGAGGGGTCGCCGGATACCATCAGAAAACATAGTATTTTCTGTTGGTCATGGGGGTCTCTCTGTGGGAAGTTTGGCCCAATTCTACCATTGATGGGGTTCAGAGTACTCTTTGATTGTAGGTGTATAAATCCCAGCAGGTACAACTCCCAAATGTCAAGTCTATTTTCCCCAAATTCCACCAGGGTTGACATGTGGGCAATCATATTGAGTGTCTGTGCCAAGTTGGTCCAGATCCATCATTGTTTGAGTCCATAATGGTCTCTGGATGTAGGTGAACTACAACTCCCAAACTCAAGGTCAATGTCCAATAATCCCTTCCAGTATTTTCTGTTGGGCATGGGAGCTCTGTGTGCCAAGCTTGGTTCAATTCCATTGTTACTGAAGTTCAGAATGCTCTTTGATTGTAGGTGAACAGTAAATCCCAGCAACTACAACTCCCACATGTCAAGTCTATTTTTCCCAAATTTCACCAGTGTTGACATGTGGGCATAGTTTGGTTGAGATCCATCATTGTTTGAGTCCACAGTGCTCTCTGGATGTAGGTGAACTACAATTCCCAAACTCAAGTACAATGCCCACCAAACCCTTCCAGTATTTTCTGTTGGTCATGGGAGTTCTGTGCACCATTGGTATACTTAAAAGTGAATCAGATTTATTTATTTATTTATTTATTTATTTCCTGCATTTATAACCCACCCTTCTCACCCCCGAGGGGGGACTTAGGGTGTTCTCATAGCAAGCACGATCGGTGCTTTCACATAAACATTCAACAAATACAATTAAAACATTAAAACAGTTAATTAAAAACTGTTAATTAAAAAGCAATTAATTAAACATGCCAATTAAAATCCAAAGCTAGATTTTAAATCTTCTTCTCACTTGCTGCTATTCAATGGTCGAAGGCTTGGTCCCATAGCCAAGTCTTGAGTTTCCTTCTGAAAGACAGGAGGGAGGTGGCCAATCTGATATCCCTGGGGAGAGAATTCCACAGGTGGGGGGCCACTGCTGAGAAGACCCTGTCCCTCATCTCCACCAATCACGTTTGCGATGGTGGCGGGATTAAGAGCAGGGCCTCTCCAGATTATCTTAGACTTCGCGATGGTTTGTAACAGGAGATACGTTCGGACCTGCTTGATGGCTTCCCTTCCACCTTCTGGACAGCTTTTGGTGAATCACCCATTCAATTATACTGAGTTTACCAAGTATATGGATTTGACTGTCAGGAGGGAGATACAAACTTAAGCAGTTATCTCAATGATGCATTATCCGTAACAGAACTTCTGAAGCAAATGTATTTGATATATGTCCAAGACATATTATGCTTGAGCATCATAGAAAAAATGTAGGTCCAATCAAATAGTTGAAAGAACCTGAATTATTTTTGCGAGTGTATTAAGCATCCCAAATGTGGAATGGTGTATGCGTGCATGATACAAAACTAATTACATACAATGATTTTGGACTTGTATGACTGACCTTTTCCTATTCAAGAAATCTCAGCAAAAACTGCAAAACATGAATAGATCTCTGAGTTTATCTCATACCTGTGAAAATGGTGACTTTAAATGAATGAGACACTAACTGTAGAGGTCTGCAAATCCCATCCAGAATAAACAGAAGCAGTTGCTCTCACTGACTGGAAGCTATGGTTCAGAATTGCCTTGGTGTCTCAGAATATGAGAAAATGGAATATAGTATGAAAAAAATATTTATTTATTTATTTGCTATATTTATATACTGCCCCTCTAAGCCCGCAGGTGACTCAGGGCCATGGATGCTCTAATATCAGTAGTGTAGTGAAATGACAAGGCTTTGCAAAGTATGTAAACCTCTTCAGCCAACATCTACTTTATTTTTGCGCTCCAAATTCCATTCCATGTTATAATACTGGCATTTTGTATTCTGATTAGTTAAATACAAACTACAACTGATACCCACCCCATTGTTGAAATTTTGAGGATTAATCATATATCATTCTTCTGTACCAGAATATCATCTATAATTAAGATAATATTTTGTACCTTAAGAATAAAATCCCAAAGAAAAGAATGACAAAAGGGCAAACAGAAAATTTGATTAATATCTTCGTTTTATTAATTGTTCTTTTCTATTCATTTTAGGTCTCAGAACAATGATATAGCATTTGGGGAAAAATATAAAACCTAGTAACCCAGTGCTGGAAGCCAAAATTGAGAAGATCTCCACAGCCACTGTGTATTTTCCCTTGGTGCTTAAGTACGTTGGCACAAAGGAAATCCACACACTGCAGAAGACCAACATACTGAAGGTGATGAACTTGGCTTCATTGAAACTGTCAGGCAACTTCCTGGCAAAGAATGCTGAAGTGAAACTGCAAATAGACAGGAAACCCATAAAACCCAGGACACAGTAAAACATGAAAACAGAACCTTCGTTACATTCAAGAATGATTTCTTCAGCCATTGAGTTTACATCAAAATCTGGAAATGGAGGAAAGGTAGCCAACCATACTGTACAAATTGTGGCTTGAATGAGTGAGCAGAAGAGAATAATGGAGGTGGCTGTTCTTTTCCCCAACCATTTCCTCAACTTGGATTCAGGCTTGGTGGCTTGGAAAGCAAGAATCACAGTTACAGTTTTTGCCAACACAGAAGAAACAGCCACAGAAAAGATGATGCCAAAAGCTGTCTGACGAAAGAGGCAGGTCATCTTCCGTGGCTGTCCAATGAAGAGCAGAACACAAAGGAAGGAGAGCAGGAGGGAGAGGAGGAGGGTGTAGGTGAGGCTCCGGTTATTGGCTTTGACAATGGGAGTGTCCCGGTGTTTGATGAAGATCCCAAGCACTCCAACAGTCACACAAACAAGGAGAAGAGCAGAGCTGGCCAAACCTGTTCCCAAAGCATCTTCAAAAGTGAGGAAAATTAGAGATTTGGGGTTGCAGAAATCCTTAAACTTGTTTGGGTAATGATCTTCTGGACATTGAAAGCAGGCATCCACATCTGGGGAAAAGAAAACATTGATATATATGGCAACATCACTTAATAAAATGGAACACTGATTTGAAAGAGCCCGTGAAGTCAACCTTTCCACACCATGTGTCTGTTAGATGGAATATTGACGAGAAAATTGTGCGCAAGGCATCATTTGTATGGCTCTGGCTACACACTATTGAGAGAGGTTGAAATAAAACAGGGCAAGAGTGATGTCCAATACTATCAAAATTGAGATGGAAAATCTATTCTTTGGAGCAAGGTTGCAGGATCTCCATGAAATTATTCTGGATAAGAAATGCAAGGAAGCAATGGAATCTCGTTCCATGCTTCAGGCCATGATGTGATATTTCTGATCCAAATTGAGCCTACTTCTACTTCTACTCATTCAGCACATTAGTGCCTCCACTCAAGCCCAACTCTAAGTGCTTGTTGGGCTGGATAGGAGTGGGACAAGCACTCCCTATTGAGCCACTGCTCTAAGGAGTATTTCAGGCCTGGAAGAAGAGTTCACAATGCATTTGGCATCTGAGTAAGGAGATGTTAGGAATTTGTGCTCAATCTATGAGTGATGGAAGTTCTCTACATATCTTAGTAACCTGAGTAAAACAGCAAAGGAGGTGAGGTTTCTTTCCACAATCCAAAAAGCTTTCATCTTGCAGAATGTCATGTATCATGTTCTGTAGTTGAGGGTGGTTGGTGGTGGCAGGCCTAGCAGTTTGTGATGCAAGTGTTAATATAAGTCTTAGTTCTAAATGGTTGAATAATCTTAGTAAGAGTTTACAGGTGAAAGCAATTAAGGGTGGAGGTATGCAAAATATAGATTGCAGCTGGGTGTTTCTGGATATAAGGAGCTAATCTTGAGACTGATCTTCAGAAGAAATGTATTGTGTCATGTTGCTGGTGCTCTGCTGTTATTTCCGGAAGAGGTTAATCAAACAAAAATCCAGTTTATGTTAAACAATTTAATTAAAACAGCACTTACTTTCTGGCTGTTTCAATAGTCCAAAACATAAAACATAAAGATAGCACTCAGCCACAGAATAAACAAAAACTGATAGCAAATGCTACACTGTAGTCAAAGGGTCCAGTCCAGTAGTCAAACACAGAGAGTTCAATAAACAAAGTCCAGGGATCAAGAGTCTATACAGTAGTCAAAAGCCAGTCCAGAGGTTCAAGGTTCCAGGGTTCCAAGATTACAAGAGACAGGTCAGGATACCGAAAATCCAACAAACCTAGGAGAAAACCAGCATCATCCACCACCAAAATATGACAACTACTTTTCTCCCGAAAATCTGTCCTAAGGCTAGCTCCTTATATCCAGAAACACCCAGCTGCAACCCATCTCTTGCATACCTCCACCCTTAATTTCTTTCACCCATGAAGTCCTCTCACTCTCTCCTCCTCTCAGCAATCTTCACAGTAATTCTCCCATGTAGATCTCCCATCTTCTTCATTCGTAACAATCGTCAACAACACCAACATTGTTATGATGAGTTGTAAAAGGATCAGC